GACATATATATGCATTGTAGAATTAAGCAATATTGCATTCGGACATATTCTTTTATTAATATTCTTACATAATACATATATATAATATATACATATATATAATATATATGTATATGTGCATACGTACTTGTACATGTGTGTATACATGCATATCCACACATATATATGTACACATATGCACATATGTACGCGCATAAAAGTATATGTATGTATATATCAATGAAGGAAAGAGAGACGCTCAACATTTGAAATGTTCCAAACTTTCTAACTGTGTTCACACGTAAGAAGAAACTGAATGCGACAACAACGTACCTTTTCTTAATGATAAGTAGGTAGTCAATTATTTTATACGAGCCAGATACATACATACACACGCGCGTATTGCGTGTCTTGCGTGATCAAACGGTAAAACGCAGTAGACAAATGTACTCGCATAAAAAAATCTTTGTAATAGAAAATTTGGAATGCGATGTGCGTGAGATGATCAGAACAAACATTAGTACGATAGACAGATCAACGATCTTTGCGATTCACGAAACCACTTTGTACTTATCCTACTTTCGCCGGACGTTTTAGCACTTTGAATCAAGCGGCTCTGTTTTACGTTTTATTTTCGGCTCAGTTTATCAGGTTTGTGCATCTAACTGGGACTCTGCATTCATATGATGCAATATTGAAAGAGGAAAGTCGATGAAACGAATAATAGATTCTAAAAGGATCTCGGTCGCGAGGCGCGAGTCGAATTGACGCCACGTGTCGTGCGATCAGTGGATTCAAAGTGTTAAATCGCGTTATAGGAGAGCACGAGTATCGGTGCCTTTTTCCCTTGAAAAAAAAAAAAATAATGTCGAGCGATATTTATTTGACTTCGTTGATTTGTATATCACGTTATTTCATCGTGCATTTACTCACAAAAGCGAGATCGTATTTCACATTTTCCATGACACGCAGAGTTCTCCACTAACGAGACATTGATGAGACAACTGACCGGATGTTTACCGGATTGTCGCGTATCTAAGAACGTATTAATGTTTGGATCATTTCGATTGTAGGGTATAAACGTATACACATATATATATGTGTATATATATA